ACTGTTTGGCCGACGGCACCCTGAGGAGGCCCGCTCTGTGGGAGCGTACCGGTCGATGGGAGGCAATCTGCGGCAGAAGACGGTCTCGAAGATACCCAGGTCCGATGCCATGGAGCGCTTTAAACGTGGTAACCAACACCTTGAAGCGCACCCGGAAGGCCACCGGCAGCCAGTGCAGCTCACGCAAAAGCGGTGTTATGTGGGAGCGACGAGTCCCTCCCAACACCGCCCGAGGGGAGGAGACAGTGAGTTCAAGTCCTGCCTTAGCTATGAAAGTCGGCTGGGTGACTTTGAGCCAGTCACTCTCTCTCTCAGAAGAACCCACCTCACAGAGTTGCTGTTGTGGGGAAAATAGGAGGAGGAAGGTCTGTGGCATGTGATTGCTGCCTTGAGCATTTTGTAAAAATAATAAAGGCGGGTACAAATAAATAAAATGAAAAATCTACCATACTTAAATGAAGAAAATGTGGGGAGTAGAAGGACATACAGAGTCTTGGGTGGAGTCAAGAGAGGGATCAGCCTGGAGTCTTTACGTTCTCACAAATGGTGTACGTTCGAATCCATTTTGAGTTCCGTTAACTGTTATCTAGAACCAATTTAGTGCTGTCTCTTAATGTATTACAGGTAGTCCTCGACCTACAACAGTTTGTTTAGTGACCGATCAAAGTTACAACGGCACTGAAAAAAAGTAACTTATGACCGTTCTTCAAACTTACGACCGTTGCAGCATCCGAGTGGTCACGTGATCGAAATTCAGCCGCTTGGCAACTGACTCGTATTTATGGCCGTTGCCGAGTCCCGGGGTCATGTGATCCCATTCTAACAAGCAAGGTCAATAGGGAAGCCAGGCTCACTTAAAAACCGTGTTCCTAACTTAACTGCAGTGATTCCGTTCACAACTGTGACAATAAAGGTCGTAAAATGGGGCAAAACTCACCTAAGAAATGCGTCACTTAGCGACAGAAATTTTGGGCTCAATTGTGGCCCTAAATAGCGAACTACCGGTAGGTCCCTGTGTATAGATGCGAGCAATAAATCCACCTAACCTGGAATTTAACACCCAACAAAATGATATACAACACCAGGCGCCGGATTGCTAGCACCGTCACACTGGGATTTTCTTAATGCAAATTGAAACGGTGGCTTCTCTCTGGAACTGGGATCCTTCCCAAGACTGTTCACATTTGCTTTGATTGACAGCTCTTGCAGAGCTGCAGTGGAGACTCTTTCCCAGCACCAGGTCATATGCGGTCCTCAAATTATGACCACTATTGGGAACGGAATTTCCACAGCTAAGTAAGGCGGTTGTTAAACGAGTCATGCCCAATTTTATTGTTAGGTAAATCACTGCAGTTGTTAAGCGAATCATGTGGTTGTTAAGCAAATCAGACTTCCCCCATTGACTTTGCACAGTCTCACAGTCTCTTGGGGATTGGCCCAAAGTAATCCAGACAGCTTTTATGTCTAAAGCGGGACTAGAATTCACTGTCTCCTGGTGATTGCCCAAAGTTACCCAACCGGCTTTCATATCTAAGGTGGGACTAGAACAGGGCTTTTCAACCAGTGGTACGGGTACCACCTGTGGTACATTGGCACCTGGCAGGTGGTATGCGACCATCCTAGAAAAGTGGTAGCAGGGGAGGGGAATGAGCTGAACTGGTGGCAGCACCACACAAGCCTGAGCGAGAGATGGCTGGAGCGGCAGGGCTGTCAGGGCTCAGCGGAAGCGCCAGGATCAGCGCCAGGATCCAGCTGGAGCTCGGCACTGATCCTGGTGCTTCTGCTGAGCTCAGAAAAAGCACCAATCAGCTGGAAAGCAGCACTGATCCTGGCGCTTCTGCTGAGTCCAGAAGAAGCGCCGATCAGCTGGAATGTTGCAGCATCTCCAGGGTCTTGTGATTTACATTCAGATGCTTGGCAACTGATTCATATTTATGACGGTCACAGTGTCCCAGGATCATGTGATGTGACCAAAACCTGCTGCAACCAATCAGCATACAGGGGGAATAAAAACCAAACACCCCCCCACCCCATCCCCGCTGCCAATCCTCAACAGAAATGCTCACAATGAAAACCTCGGACAGGAGGAAGAGCGCCGCCGGGCGGGCAGGCAGGTATCTTGCTCGGCTGTGGCTTGGAGGGCACTTTTTTCAGTGCCACTGTAACTTCGAACAGTCACTAAGCAAACTGTTGTAAGTCGAGGATTACTTGTACTTTATCACTTTTTTCCTTTTTTTTTGGTCATCAAGTTTTTGACCCCTTGTTAGGCGACTGGTGGTACTCGGATATTGCCATATCCTAAAAGTGGTACAATGGGTGAAAAGGTTGAAAAGCCCTGGACTAGAACTCACTGTTTCCTAGTTTCAAGCCCGGTGCCTTAAACACTAAACCAAATTGGTCTCAGGATCCTCAGAAATACAAACGTTCAGGGATCCTGGAAGAACAGCATATAAATCCAGGTTGAGACGCAGCAGTAAAAGAACCCCAAGATTGTTTTGGTCAATGCAATTATTAAAAGAATTCTAAGATTGTTTTGGTCTTTGCACCTTTTTGAAATAATGGGCAATAATTTCTGTTATACTATTTTAGATGCATTAGTCCTGAATATATCACTCTGGCATGTGTTGGTATGTTAATCTTTTAATTAGCTGGCTTTTTGACCAATGTGAAATAAAGAGCAAAATAATATTTGGCATACACTGTTGCGCAAGGCCAGATTTTTCAAATTTCCTCTATTTCTGCTAAGAGAAAAATTTATAGCTGAAGTGCCAAGAAAACAGCAATTTGCAGGACGGCTGCCTGTAACAGATTATACAAAAATGTTTTATCCCCATCAAGGGAGGGTTTGTTGTGTCAATAAGAAGTAGACACCCATCTGTAGAATACCAGCCGATTTCTGAATATAGATGACTTTTCCTGTAATTGGGTTGCCCAATCCTATTCCATATAAATCTGCAATTGAAAGGGAGGAAAATACAGGTGGTCCTTGACTTACAACCATTTGTTTAGCAACCAGAGTTCCAATGGCACTGAAAAAAGGCACTACACCAATTACAGCATCCCCATATTCAGACGCTCAA